AGGTCCATTATACTTTCTAGAAACGCCGGCTGGCTAAGGTGTCTGTAGGTAGATTCCTACGACCTCATAAACTGCTACGCGGTATTGTAAAGTTGAGAATGTATATATACGTCGCCCTTACCAAACGTCAAAGAATTAAGACAACACAAACAAACAAAGACGTGTTTTCCTAACATCATAACATGAAACTGTAGTTTCAAGCATAAAGCTACAATCGTTGCCAAAATACCTTGGACCGTACAATTATTTGTCTCCAGCCTAACATTTTTCTCCTTTATTTTTTCACAGTTTTCCCCCTTAGCCCCCTTTCATCAATGTTGGGTCTTGTTTTGGATGCTTGTGTACTATGGTAACATGATCAATGACAACATTGCATTAAGGGGGTCAAGGGGGATGAAATTGTCTGCAGGTGTTTCTTAAAATGAGGAAATTCGCTGGAATGGACCAAGGATTTTGTCAACGATTGTATGTTTTTAAACTGCCAACTCTCGCAGATAATTTGTCCGTATATCTCCCGGTCTCAAGAATCAGTGTAAAATCTCTCGGTTTTTCAGGAAAATAGCAAAAATCCCATGCTTTTAAGTATATTTGTCGTAAATGGGACCTGATTTATGACCAAAGTTAAATATTAATGGTTTTCGATTTTTTTTTTCTTTTTTTTTTCTTTTTTTTTGTCATTCGAAAAGTCTTAACAAAATGGCGGATTTATCGATCTCATTGAAATTGCCTGTCGTTGAGCTAGAATTCCTAAAACCATAGGGTCTTCTAGATGTCTTGAGTATAAAACAGCCATTCATCGACAATTGTCTTCAGCGTGGGATGATTTCCTATGGATGCATCCTCTGTTTGCAATGATCTCTTCTTGTGACTTGTACACTTTCTTGATAATGCATTATTACCTGGTACTGTCGAAAACGCTGTGTTCTATAATATAAGACCAAAACATACCGTACGTACTATTCTGCCATGCATTCTCTGCATCGTTTGATTAAAATAATCATGCCAGGCGCTCCTTGCCAAGTTATAACCAACCTTGAAAAAAACGTTTTGACTTGTGTTTGACAGATATAGACTTGAGAAATCGTATCGTTTCAATTACAGCAATGAGTTCGCGCAGAAGAGTATATTATGTTTGGCGCGACCCAAAGAATCTAATTGTTGGTTGACTGGCTTTTGCTGTTAKTTATGTTAGTGATATATTTTATATGCAATTTGTTTCTTTGAATCACTAAATACACGCAAAAATTATCATTTCTTGTTTAATTAACACCGGAGAATATATAATCGTGACAGACTGTTGGCAAGAAACCAATCTATAGCTGAATTGATTCTAGYTGTAGTTCTTCGCTCTGTAACTAAGAACAAGCATAACTCAATTAAAGTGAATTTCCGCTTGCCGGCACATTTGTACTCTTTAAAAGATTTGTTGAAATTCGATCAACATTTGTACATTCTACACTCTGAAATAATGATTTCACTGACAGAGGACGAATATGAAGAACTACTGCTCTTCGGAGGAAGGTTAGCTTTATAAACATACTAAGTACATTTTAGCTAGAAGGAAACACCTCATGCGGTTTTGTGTAAAATTTGATTTTGGTCATTCATGTAATAAGTCTTCATATTTAAAAGTATTTTATTCAATGATGTCTAATTTGAATTACTCATTTAAAAAATTTCATTATTATTATTTTGCAATTTCACTAGTTAGTATTCCTTATATCTCTGTCTTGAATGTCATCCCGCTTTATGATTTTTTCTAGAATTTGTTAGTTTATCATTCATTAGATTGTATCTCTGTTCTATCATTAGCCTTTCTATATTTACCTCATAGTATACRATTTCTTCCATACAAAAGATAATTAACCGTTTATCGGTTGAAACGTAAAGACCACATTCAAAGAACGCTAAGTGTTCTGACCGGTAAACCACTGCAAATTCCCTATATTACTAGTATAGTGATACTACAAAACACCTCCACAGGCGTAGTTTTGCAGTTCGAATTAAAGTTTGCGTGCGAGGACTCAATTATGAGTGATTTTCCTATACCGAATAACCTCAATGTCGGCGTATTTATATTGAAAAATGTTTTTGCCCTTACCAAAGTTAAGGTACTAAAATCATAGAATTAAACCCTTTCTTTGATTATTATGGAATAGGATTTTGAAATAGCTTCACGCGTATATCTCCCTTTCCCGTATTTTATAAAGTCTGTCCGCGAATGCAGGTTGATTACCCCCTGGTGTATTTGGTTTCTTTAGCGACGCAGTGGTACCTGCTCTTAGAGGTTTTTGGAAGCACGTGACAAAATTATAAAGTATAGATATTTTAGGTTGAAGTTCCGGCAGCAATGATCTGTCAAAGGATGGCTACTGTATTTAATGAGGACTATCTGGAACGTCTTAAGCTAAACCTTTCGTCGTATTAGTTTTGTCTTCATTACATGGTCTTGGAAACATCTTTGGATGTTTAAAGTTCCGTACCAATTTATTTAATGAATTTCAAGGTAAATTTTTCTTATTATCCTGTCTTCCAGAATATAGACACACTCGGTAAAGGGAAACGATTTACCAATTTAATTTGTAAAGGATTCAACTCTACATTCAGTTCGATAAGTCAGCATGAATTCCAATAAATCAAAATTAATAGTCGTTCAAATAGTGGACATATTTTGGTTGAATAACCATGTACAAGAGAATTGCAGACGAGACTCCGGGGTAAAAATTAATGGATATTCTTAATGTGTTATTTTATTTACCGAATATCCGTCTGCAATTGATTTTTTGTGCATAGTTACTAAAGCAAAATATCTAAGTCGGCCCTAACTAATGTAGTTTCGTCCAAAAAGTGGCTCATTCCCAACTGAAATCAAAATATCCAGATAGTACGTATATATAGCAGATCTTTAAATGTGTTTTATCTAAAAAGACACTTCTAATGTTCCAATTGTCACGTGTCGTGATATATATATTCAGTTTCTTTACATGCATGGAACATTGTATGTCCATATAGAATTTTTAAAGTACCTTTTCATTTCCCCACTTAAACACATCTGACATCGACATTAACATGGCAATTGGGACATTGGAAGCGTCTTATTACATGGAAAACATTTTCAAGATCGACTGTATATCGACTACTAATCTATTTTTACTAACAACCAACAACTAAACTAGGCTTWTATTTTTCAATGCCAATGGACTTCAGGTGAGAGTGAGTGTTCTATGTTTTGTTTTGCAGTGATTCAAGTAAGCACCAATCCACCAAGAATCCATCGACGAGATCAAGCAGTGATGACTCAAATAAGGACGACAGTCTATCACCAGCTGACCTAAAGGAACTTCTCGACCGATTGACTCGCGAGGAAAGCGAATCAAAAGAAATCAAACAGAGTGTTGTGAGGAAGTTAACCGCAGACATGACAGAACGCGGGCGAAAGATTGGCGCTCACCTGGAGTCGATCCATGGCTATGCTGTCAAAGGATGCACCAATCCAGAAGACGCTCAGGATCAGGTTCTTTCTGAGGAACTTGCAGATGAACTGAGAAAAAGGACTACATCAGTGGACACGGAGATAAAACAGCTGGAAAACCAAATGGGACAACTACAAAGAACACTTGTCAAGGGAAAAGCAAGAAGAGAGAGTTTAAGGCATCGCATGTCCGTCACAGCACCAGGTCGTAAAGTGTCTGCTATGTCATCGTGTTCATCAACATCAGAAGCGGACGAGCTGACGTTGGAAGACTACAAAGCGAAAATTGAAATGCTCGAAAATGAGAAACTTGAGTGGCTTGAAGACAAAAAAGATTTGGGAGACGAGATCAAATTCTTGAAATACCAACTGCAATATCGGCTAGAAGTGCAGACATTACAGAATGACAACAATATAGATAAATCTGAATCAGAGAAGATGKTTAAGGAAAATGAGATTCTTCGTGAAGAAAACCGTAAGCTAAAAGAGCGCTTATCAACCATCACTGAAAAGCTCAAGGAAAAAGGAAATGTGGAAGACAACTTGCTAGATATCGCTGATGTTTCAAACGAATTTTCCAGTGTTTCATCTGAAGGAGAGATTGAACGTCTCAACAACGAGAGAAAGATCCTTCTGTCCACCATTATGAGAATGCAGAGTCTTGAAAAAGACGAAGATGAATCGCCKTCTTTTGCTGATTTTGGTGTGCAAGTGGATTTAAATAAATTCGAGACGATAGAAGAAGATGTCGTYGCCACACCGCTCGTTGCAAAACTAACAAAGGAAAACAAGGCTTTGAAGAAGCATATCACCGACATGCAAAAAGATCTTGATGATTATGAAGAAGAGAGGAAAACAATGAGCGAGGAAAACTTCAAACTCATCGATGAAAARAGAAGCCTAGAAGACACCATCAATAAACTGAGAACTCAAATGAGTGATACTTTGGATACCACACTGGATGAGATTGAGCAGCTTCACGCCTTCAACGAGGACCTTGAAGAAAAATCTAAGCGCACACAATCTAAATTCAAGGAATTGTTGCAATCCATGAGTGATTTACAGAGTAATAATTGTACGTCATTGGAAAGATTACTCGATGAAGTCGAAACAAAGGTTACACTGGAGGATACTTTTGACTTCTTGGACAGTGAAGTTGCCAAACTCATAGAGCAAAATAGAACATCATTCCCATCAACAGAATCACAAGTTATGCAACGATCAAAAGAAGAGAAACAATTCTCATCAAACCTTTTAAACGAAGTTAAGTCGTGTAAAGATCTGCTCGAGTCTCAGAGATCTCACATAAGAAAGTTACAGCTCGACAAAAGAGACATTGAAGAAGGATATACCAAGATGAAGCGTGAGCTCCTTCTCCTAAAATCCAGCAAGCAACGAGCTAGAGAAAATTCAAAGGAGTTGCAGTTCCTGAAGAAAAGGCGAGCAAAATCGCTCAATGATGGTGCCAAAGAAGCTAAAACTGTTCTTGTTGACAAGGAGTCYCTACAGCGTGAAGTCAAAAGGCTCGGATCTATGAAAACGGACCTCGAAAACACAGTACAGAAGATGAAAAAAGAAAAGGCAACATTAGAAGACGAAAAGGTTTGTCTTTTAGGCTCATTGTATCATCAGCTTGAACGAAATGAGTCTCTAGAAATGCAGATCGAGGAACTTTCAGCTGCACTTCAACAGTGGGAAGAAAAGTCGGATCTTGAGAATGACGTCTTTAGCGAAAACAGACACGATTTGAATGAAGAAAAGGTTAAGGAAAATCTTAAAGAATCACCAYTTGATCGCATTAMCAACCAATCACCACTTGATAGCAACRCAATTGAGAAYGATGCTAAAGAATCAGAATCTGTGKATTACGAATCKAAAGAACTGCAGCAACTCTCTCCAAAAGAATTGGAAGTTGAGCATRTGAGTGTCCGTCCGATAAGTCCCGTTGTAACAGCCGTAGGATCCGCAGCCGAGGAGTCGATGCATGAAATGAAAGCAAAAATACATGCTCTTGGAGAACAGCTAAAAGCAGTACAAGAATCTGTAGTTGATCTCGAGACGGAACGTGACAAGCTTCTAGAAGACTTGGAAGATAGCAAGAAGAATGAAAAGGAACTCCGTAATGTCATTGTTCAACTTAAACGAGAGAACAGCATCTATGAAGACAAATTTTCCAAAAGTAATGAGCTCGCCGAAACGTTACAGATTCGTCTTCGTGAGTCCCAAAGTGCAAAAAATGAAGCTTTGGAATCCTTAGAAGAAGCAAAKGCAGAAAATGAAGTTTCTAAAAGGCATTGCGAWGTGTTAGATAACAGACTTAAAGAAATCACAAACCAAAGARATCAGTATAAAGATAAAACAGARCATTATAATGAATACTTGCAGGAGCTTTATGGCTGCATTACTGAAATGGTGCAATCCGATTCAGACGAAAAAGAAGATGTTTCATCGGCAGAAGCTGACGAATCTGTAAAAAGTCAAGAAGAAATAGAATCTGGAATTTACGAYGGACTTGGAGCAATCCAAACATCTATCACTGACGTAATGAAACAGCTCAATGAAAAGAATGATAAACTGAATACTGTGAAAGATCAGATGGGCACTTTGAACACTGAGAGGGAAGCCTTGCAGAAATCGTTGCGCGAGAGCGATGCCAAGAAGAAACAACTCAAGGGTTTTATCACTAAACTGACAGAAGAGAAAGAAAAAGTGAATGAACAGCTTGACGAGATGAAGCAGCAGAAGACAAACCTTGCTGATGCATTAGAGAATGTCTATCAAAGTAAAGAAAAACTTCAGAACAGACTTTCAGAAGCATTATGTAAACAAGAACAGTATAAAAAGAGTCTCGCGGAGGCAATAGATGAATCCAAGACCTTGAGAGAGTCTCTTTATCGAATGGTCAACGAGCATGAAACTATGAAAGAATCTCTGCTTAATGCGAATCGAGAAATYGAACATCTGAAAAGCCAACACAGACTTCATACTGCGAAAGGCACAATTAGCGTTATTAAAGAAGAAGATAAAAAGGACTTCGAGGAAGAGGAAGAACAAGAAAACCTCGAGAAAGAACAGCAACAAACGTTGGATGTTAACCTGGAAAATGGAGAGCAAACACAGACCTATGAAAAGAAAAATCTACCAACTTGCGATCCTTTGGCAGATGTGCTGTCAATGGAAGATGGAAAAAGTCTACGTGAAGTGGTGAATCAGCTTAAGAAGTCATTGCAATCACTATCTAAAGAAAACGCCTCATTTACATCACAGATGCAGGAATTGTTTGGTCGCTCCGAAATGCACAAAGAAACCGATAAAATCGACAAAGTAGAAGAGGAAATTACATCAGAACACGAAGATGATACATCTCGTGTTTCTCAAAGTGGAACGTCTACCAGAATTGACACTGACGAGAAGGAACGAGAAGAAAACCGAGAAGATACATTATTTATGTTCGTATCGAAAAAGCTCTCTAATGAGGAAGGAACTTTCTCTTTAATGCAAATGCAAATTGATGCAATTCAGAAATATATCGAAGAGATGGCATTAAAACTGCAATCCGTGCAGAGTGAAAGCGAAGACAACGAAGCGATCTCGGGTCTTATGCATTTGCAGGCAGATCTATTAACAAAGAAACTTGATTTGGACTCAAAAGAAGCCGAAGATAACAAAAAGTTGGTTGAGTGGTTTGAAGTTATCTCTGCGGAAAAGGAAACATTGGAAAAAGAACTAGAAAACGCATCCYGCGATAACATTAAGCTTTTAGAAGATTTGGCAACTTTACGAAACGAGAAGGAAGCGATGAAAATTCAGCTTGATGAGATTACTAGAATTACTGAAATAGAGCAAAGCGAAACATTGATTAAAAATACAGCACAATTCGTTCACAAGCAAAATTACGAAGAACTTATGCCCGCGGAACTACAAAAAGAATTGCTCCAATTAGATGACAAAAATACAGAGGAAGATTTAGATTTGCACCATTCACTGGAAGAGCTCGATGCTATCCAACTCAGAAAACTTGCAGAGAAATTTCAGCGTGAAAACCAGGCTCTGAATGCAAAATTAAGTGAACTTTCGGAGAAAAGCAAGCACTTTAATACCATTGAATTAGAACTTGACAAGTCAAATAATGAAACAAAAGCTTTAGAAAAGCAAGTTGAAGTTTTGTCCAGAGAGGGAGCTACTTTAAGAGGAGAGGCAGATGAGAGAGTTCAGAGACTTATTGAATTAGAAGAAAATATGATCCTAACCATTGAGAAGAAACTAGAACTTGCCGAATACGCTTCCATGTTGACCTCCAAGAAAGACTCTTTGGAAAAGAAATGTGAAGAGCTATCGCGAGAGGTTGAAGGTCTTAAAGAATCGCGGGATCAAATATTGGCGCTAAAATCGCAGTCCGACGAAGAGATTGGTAAAGAACTAAAACATTTGAAAGAGTACAAGGAAAGAGCAACAAAGGAAATTGAAGATCTCAATGATATCTTGAGAATCGGCAAGCAAGACTTCGAAGCTATCAAGATAGAACTTGACTCTATACAAAGAAAAAATAGATCACTGAAACAAGATCTTGAAAAGGCTTCGGCCAAGGAAGAAGAATTAACTTCAAATTTCCAAGAGAAGCTGTCTAGAGCGTTAGCACTTAAAAGCAGTGACCCTGAAGAAAATGCCAATGCTGAGTTAGAACTATTTAAGCTCAAAATATCAAAGTTAAAAAGTGACGTGTTGAATGCCAACGAGAAAGCTGCCAAGTTAGAAAAGGAGAAAAATGACACCTCTTCAGTTCTTAATGAAATAATATGTGTTTATGACACTGAAGTGAAAGGAATTGTGGACCACGATGGTAAGATGAATGAGCCTCAAGTAGATGTAAAAGTAGCAGAGTTGAAAAACTGGATTAAAACCAGCTCAAGTCGTATGGAGAGCTATGCTAATAAGACAAAGATGCTAGACTCATTCGTTCAAGAATTTRAAGACAAGGCTTCCGAAATCCTAATAAAGGACGTCTCTCGTGATGGAAAATCTCAGACATCATTGAGCAAAGCCAAAATAGATGAAGAGCAGAGTTTTGAGAATGCTCGTTATAAATTAGAACTCTTGATTCAAAAGCTCAAGGATAGTTTCCAAAGCCAAACAAATTTCCAGACTCAACTTGGCCAAATAAAGGAAGACAACGAACGTATAACAAAGGAATTGGAAATCAAATCTAATTTTCTTAAAACGATGAGGCATTCATTTGAACAGCTGCTTCAAGAGAAGAATCTTCTTGCGCAAAGGGCTAATGGTCAACAAGTGGAAATTGATGGGAAGCGATTGAGCAATGCTGAGAGTTCTAAAGTAATAAGTCAATCGGAGATGTCAGTTTGTGACCAATGTGAGAAACTTGTTCGCGAACGCGACGAACTGAAATTGACAATCGCATCCATGAATGAGGACAGTGCTGAGCTCAAAGATAAATGTCGTCTGCTGAAAGAACACCTACTACAGCTAAAAAGACAAGAAGAAAATAACAATATCTCTACCGGCTTTGTTTATGGAAATGAATATCCGAAGTCTACCAATGAAACACTGTCACAAAATATTTTAGTTGCTTGTGAGAGTGTACCGTTATGTGAGTCAGTGCCGGACATCCAAGAGCAAGCACCAGACCTTGCAGCCCTCTTCCAGGCGGATAGTTCAGAAAATCAGAAGAAAGAACTGGCCGAAGAAGGAACACTGGACACTGTCTACCTTTCACCAAATGAGAAGGATGTCAATGTGAGCGAAGACAAAGACATTGAGGATAAAAAACCATTATCTCTTCCAGAGGAAACATCGCATGTCATTGCAATGCCAATCAGGAAAGTTATTGCTGAAGACCGAGTGGATGTAGGTGTAGAGAGAGACGAGGAAACAGTGCCATCGCAGGTCCAAGACGAAACATCAGAGTCCACAAGCGAGAATAATATTCAGAAAGACCCTTTGGAAGTAGTAGGTGAGGGAGATATCGAGGGGAGAGAATCAACGCAGGTCACAGAACAAACACCGGAGGCCGTTCTTGAGTTCTCAAGTAAGGAGACCATTGATAACGATTGTGTAAGTGGAGTAGAGAGGGGCATCGAAGAGAGAATACCATCACAAGTGGACGGCGAAGAGCAAACTTCATTTAAAGAGGAAGATAGCTTACTAATGCAATTGCAGAATTACCAGAGAAAAGTAGAATCCCTTAAAGACACGAACAAGAGTCTGGAAGAGGAGATTACATCTTTGAGAGAAAAAATGAAAGAGATCAAGAATGAATACCAGAGAGAAAGAACCGAACTTAAAAAGGAATTTCTTCATCAAGAACAAGAATTAGACGAGGTCAGCAAGGAAAAACTGGAAAGAAAGAAACTTATAACCAATCTTAAAACAAAACTTGATGACTTAAAGAGCATAAGCCACCACAAGAAGGAGCGTCCAAAAGATGAAAAAGACGGCGCCGATATGGAAGAAGAGAGAGTTCAACTGCACAAAATGTTAGCAGAAAGGTCGAGCAGCTTGAAAGATCTTAATGAAAAGCTTGGTGTCTCAAAGAATTTTATGCAGCGAATACTTGATGAAAACAAAGATCTCAAAGAAGATGTTGCTGACTATGAAATCGAGCTAAAAGAAATGAAGAATAAACTCGAAGTTCTGAAAGCAGAGATGGACTTAAARGCAACTGCTTTACATGAGCTTAAAGATGACAAACATCACCTCGAGGCAAAGAAAACTCGACTTGAAGAAGATTTGACAAGTGCGAAGGAACAACTGAAAACTCGAGGGGCGCTTCTAGCTACACTAGAACGAGACAAGGAAGCTTTCAAAGGAAATCTACGAAAGGCACAACAAGAGATAGTTTCCTTGAAAAAGCAGTACGAACTGTTGCAAGAATTAGCCGACTCTGGAAAGCAAAGACAAAAAGACACAGAAGCGTTAGTGCAAAAGCTAAAACAATCATGTGACGAGATGACAGAAAAGTTTGAAAGGATATCTTCAGAAAAGAAAACTATGCAAGATTCTCTTAACGAGCAATTGCAGGCGGAAAGACAGAAAACAGAGGAATATCAGGAAAAAGTTGCAAGTTTAGACAAAAGTCAGTCACTAGCAGAAAAGACACTCGTTGAGTATAAAGAAAAAATTCAAACCCTTACTCGTGAACTTCGTAGAGATAAGTCAAGAAGAGATCGTGAGATAGGAAGCATCAAGCAAGAAAATGCAAAATTGCTCGGTGACGAAACTCGCATCCAAAAACAACTGGAAAACCTTCGTGAGCAACTAGAATATGAACGAAGCAAGAACGAAAAATTAGAGGAAGACTTGAAGTCTGCCATAATACATAATCTGACATTGAACAACAGCCTTAAAGCACAATCTAAAGAAACGGACAAAACAAGCAAAGAATTGGAAGGAAACAAGAAAGAAAGCAAGCGTTTGAATACATTAACAGGCGATTTAAAATCCAAAATTGCAAATCTAGAGGCTTTGCTGAAAGCTACTAAAGATGAGAAGAAATTTTTTGCTGATGAGGCCGAGAAAGCCAAAGCTGTGAATACGGATTTGCGACTACGCCTTAAGGAATCAAGCGAAGATAAGGAAGAACTTGAGGATATATTGGTAGAGATGCGAGACAAGCGTCAAAAATTGCACAACGAGATTGATAAAGCTCTTACCGAAAGAGACGAGCTTGAAGACAAACTATTTGACTTGAAAAAAGAGACGACAAAGAAGTTGCAAATTTCGCTCGAAGAGCAGAAGAAAGCAGAGGCAGCCCTTGAGAAAGCTGTCAAACAGGACAATGCATTGAGGGATGAATTAAATCAGCTAAAGAACGTTAAAATTCAAACTTTTGAAGAAAACAATGCTCTGAAAGATGACTTAGAAAAGGCTAAAACAGAGTTGATTGAGCTTCTTCAGAATGCCTCACCACAAACTACCAATGAAACAGTTTCTTCTGATAAGGAAAACTATTCCAAGCAGCTTCAAGATGCGCAAGTTGAAGTTCAAAGACTAAACTCTTTGTTGCAAAAAAGCCAAAAAGAATTTGAAAATCTTAAAGCGCAATTAGAGTGCAAAGAAAAGGAACAAAAACTAGCTACAGAGAAAATTGGACAACAGGAACCTGTCCAGGAGGACATATTGATTGTTCAGCAAACAGAATTACAKTCATGTGGAATTGAAAACAACAAAGAAATCCTAKATTCCGAGGCGCTCATCGCATGGTACAAAGATGAAAATACGAGACTACGAACTGAACTTAMACAAGCGGAGTCCAAATGCACAGGCCTGAAGGATGAGCTGTACAACGTCTCCAAGAGACAAGTTCAGGATGACATCAAGTACGAGACCATCAACCGGAAGTGCAGATCTTTAGARGAAGATCTTCGCAAATCAAACTCTCAATTACTGAGGGTAAGAACCAACTTGAAAGCTTCAAATGCAAATCTTACAGACCTTCGGAGAGACCTGCGTGCTTTGGAAGCTGACAAAGAAAAGCTTGAGAACGAATACAAAAGATTGAAGCTGGAGAAAGGTGTCGTTGAGCGGGTTAAAGTAACTTCAATTGAAGTTCCAGCAGCATCTCAGATCACAGGACTCGATAAGGATATTCCAGTTGTCAAGGCAGAGTCTCTCGAAAGTGCTCGTAAAGAAATTGTTATCCTCGAAGCTCAAGTGAAAGATATGCGTGAGCGATCAAAACATGATCAAGAGTTYGTTGACAATATGTTATCTGATGTAGACAAAGAATTAACAAGAGCAACGACTTTGTTATCGGTAAATTCAGAACAGAAATACCCAAATAAAGAAGCRCAAACCCCCAAGGAACAGCAAACAAAAACTAATAAAMTTCTTAACCACGAGAACCTGCAAAACAAACTCCAATTATTGAAGAAAGGCGTAGATGTCCTTGAAAAAAGCCATCGAGAACCTCATAATAGCTCTTTACTTGACGCATTGTCMAAGGAAGACAGTTCTCTTTTCGATAAACTCGGTGTCGTCATAAGCGAAAATCATAAACTCAAAGACAAACTGCAATTCTTACAAGATAGATTGAACGCGATCTTACAGGAGAAACAAGTCTTGGAGGACATTGGTTCAAGCACAAGGAAAGAACTTCGTTCTTTAGTCAAAAGTTTATCTTCCGAAAGAGAAGAGATGAAGTCCATGAACACAGAACGTTCGCAGATGAAAGCGAAGCTAGCAGAAGCTGAAAAAAAGATAGAAGAGCTTTCGGCAAGAGTTAAATCTCTTAAAGAAGTTAGTCAACCCTTGGAACAGAAGACTGTTCCGGAGACGAAAGTTATAAAACAAGAGGTTGTCAGTGCAGTCGAGTCCATTCCCCTTCAGCAAGAACATGACCTGCAAGTAGAAAGTAAACATTTAGAGATGGAGCTGATGGAACAAGATAGAGAACTTCAGTGGCTTCGSCATGAATGCAAAGAGGTGGAAGTAAAACGCGATGAATTGAAAAGTCGGTGCCAGAAACTTGAATCAGAAAGGAGTGCGTTTGAGGCCGCGAATAAAAAGTTGCAATCACAAAATCAAGATTTGTACTCGGAGGTTAAGAAGAAAGAACGATATCTGGTCAGCTATCGAGAAGACAACGAGAGACTTTTGACTATCCAGAAGACATCTGAAGCACAAATTCGTCACCTAAACCGAGAAATTGAACTCTTCAGCGATCGTGTTGTATGCTGTGAAACAGAGAAAGAACAAATTGAAGAAACCAATCGACAGCAACAAAACGAAATGCAAGAACTGTTTCTTCAGCATGCGAAGGACAACGTAGTTCGTGAAAAACTTGAAAAGTTATTTTATGAAAACACAAAGCTTAAGGAACAAAAGAARATGCTCTCGACACGTCTGCARACCTTGGAACGAGACATGAAAAGTCAAATTCTTACGGTAAGAGATTTGGAAACCGAAAAAGAGGAACTGCTTGGCATWATTGATAAAACTGTCAGCGAAAAACGCAATGAAATTTCCAAGAAGGAACGACTYGGTTATCTCTTAGAAAAACAAGAGAAAGAATCTCGCGCAAAAATGGACAGCTTATCGCGGTTAGTAGAAAAACTAAAACACGACAAAGACGAACTGTGCGCCAAAAATCCTCAACTTGATAAAATTCACCAGGAGAATAATAAATTATCCAAAGATTGCGCATATAAGGACACTGTTATAACTAAGCTACAAGAAGAAAACCATTCATTGAAAAAGGARAATGATGCTCTTCGTCAGTCATACGAYAARCTYAAGGAAACTCAGARAATGCTAAGCCCAAATTATGACGGRTCGCTAGACCGAGYAGGTTCCTTYAGACGTTCACCCCGTGTTTCTAACTCCAAGACGCCWTCGTAYTCATCSCTTGATCGCGCATCGCCAGCAAGCAGTCGCACATCATTTTCATCAGGAAGAAAAGACTCAAGAAATCGTACTCCTCCTGTCCGCCGATCATCATCAAGACGAAGAGACGATCAGTCTGGGGATAGAGACGACTTGTCAGGAGGTAGTTCCCAGGAGTGTTTTTGCAGTCCCATCTTGTCTGTAGTCAACTTGTGTCCATACGAAGTTCAACAGCCTGAAGAAGTTGATTCCTCTGGTCGATGTCCCGTRTGTAAAAAGAGAAGGAATCGTAAGGGTACGATTAAAGAACATTATGTTTAGAAAGAGTTTGTTGTATGTACCTAAAAAAAACGTCGTTTCCAAACGGTTACATTATATAAYAAAAGCCAAGACCAAAAAGGAATCTGGGAAAACTAATATTATGAGTGTAACAGTGTTGCCTGCACTCAATAAAATGAGCTTCTCTACGGTTACTGCTATGATGTAACATGTTTAGGCAAATATGATTTATTAGATTTCTCAGTACCCAAGATCCCTTGCGGTCTTTGTTTTGATGACATCAACTTTTTGCGAACCGACAACGTTTTTTCAATTAGGTGTACAACTGTATTACAAAATCGCAAAAATTCATACTCAATATCTACCGAAGAAACATATCAATAACGTCAATGATATGTAGATCGTAGATCATGAAAGCAGAGGTCGAAAATTCCATTGATCTTTCTTCTGTGATTACAAATCTATAATGTCTACTTCAATTAAGCATATATTGTTATGTTAAATATTCATAAGTAATATTATAGTAAGAAGCGAGAAATTTCTCTATCGTAAATATTTGAATACCAAAATGATATCCATATTAAAACTGATACTTTCTTAGTTATTGAAAAGGTATATTTTTAACAAGATTATCATTATAATGTAAATATATGCCAGCATATTAATCTTCCAGAACTGCCTATATATAAATGAGATTTATATCAAAAGTCATTTAAGCATCTTTTACATAATTTGTAACTGGTTCAATATATTAGTTGCGAGTATGATCAAATATATCTCAAATGAAAAATTTATCCCAGAAACACAGGTAACTTCTTTCCTCAGGATTCCTAGTTTTTCTTAAAAGAACAATGTGGAGTGAGGTAAATTAGAAGTCAGCATTTCAGGCCWCGTCGAAAACTAAGGCCAGATGTTGCCTGTGAAGAAAGCTWAGAATATTCTAAATATACTTGTAGCATCGAAAAGAAAACACGAAAATTCGCGCAAGAATAGCTTAACACCAGAGAAAATTCACAACGCCATTYAGTACATAGTCTAYAAAGGCATTTGSAAAATGCAAAAGAAAATAWACTATAGAGGAAACTCTTGCAACATGGATACGTTAACATCCGCGCCATTTTCAATTGAGAAATATAATCTAGATCACTTAATTGACTTCCAATATAAACTCCACTGACTTTGATGAGATTTTCAAAACCTTCGTTGCTTCAAAATAGGAAAAGATGGTACCATTCTCCAAGAAGCGGGATTTTTTTCCAACTAAAAGTTTGGATCGACTCCCGGACGAGTGCCGTTAATATTAAAGACATTCAACGAAAATTGTCCCAAAAAGTAGTTGACACATTTATTTACACAGTCATTTAATCGGTATGCATATCTTTTAACTCAGTATGAAGCTTAAAGTTTGAAAATTGAAATCGTGCGGAAGTCAAAGTGATCCAGATTCCATATGTTCTTTTGCCCGTTGTGCCTTAATTCAATGCAAATGGCGGATGTAAATAAGTACATAGCAAAAGGTTTCCAATTTGGGTTTTGTTTAATTCTAATTACGCACTACAAGATTTAGCTAAACTAGAAAACCCGAGGAAAACGTCTTAGCGTTGAACTATTAGTGTATGAAAATAAAAAAAGAAAGGAAATCGATTTTCACTATCYATTTTGTAAAAGAGAAAAAGCCATCTTGTTAGAATAAGTTAACATCAAAATTATTAATATTTGATTTACTCCTAAACTTTATCAACATTATATTTGGTGTAGATGATAAAGTCAATAATACAAGTAATACAATAGAGTCAAGTATAAAATTTTATTATAACCAGAGTATATAATATCATATATCAAATCTATTTTCGATATTTGCATCATCGATTGCATTACTATTTTACAAAGTTTTATATTAGATTAAGAAAACAAATATTTGTAGTCATGAGTGTATACATAATAAAGCATATATATTGTTTGAATGAGTGAATTTCGTAGCAAGTCTTTTGACTTATACAGTGGAATTCAATTTCGTAAGARGGAAACTGCCYGGGTATATTCCATACCATCAGTTGCCGAATGCTTAATAGAATTGTTTGAATATTCCGGCATGAAATGAAGTAAAAGTACTATACATAGGCGTCATAGACACTCTATGGCTTGTTCTCCTCTCAAACGAAACCGCTCATCTATCATACGTAGTTGTAGTTGTTAACATTTGGATTGTAATCAACCAAGCGCACTGGTTTGCAACAGTCTCCTTCGGGGTTACCTGCGCCATCCTGAAAGGTGTTGAGCGTGCAATGATATAAACCTTCTTTCGCMCCTACAGACAATTATTCACATGTTTCTATCATTGCACACACAACGGTTGTCTCGCTTCGGTGTAAAGGCACGGCTACCTTTCAGGATGTCGCACTTAACCGTGAAGGAGACTATCCGCGCTTTGATTGCACTTTTTAAAATTGAATTCTTAAAAATCAAGTAGCAGCGTAACAGCCTCGTTCCTAGGATATAAAACAATAGCGTAAACAATCACTTTACACATAGATTCAAGGCTATTCACGCCTTYACTGGACTTTTAAGAATAATCAACAAGGCTCAGACTGGAAAGCAAGAATACCATTGGAACTTTTCATTGCTTTTTCAAGTGATAGCTTTAGGACTATGGTGCGCTAGTGCCGAAAACTAGCGGTCACGTGATGGTTATTTCATATATCGGTGATAACAGGCTCTTTTAGATRTTCCTCGGGAATGAATCCTGAACGTTTTCTATAAGGTGAATAAGCCCATGTCCAATGTGGGACAACTTGGTCCTTTAGATTAGCATACACATACTCTCCAGCAAGTACAGTAAGATCATCAAATGCTGTTCCTTCAAAATCATATAACGCAATCAGCTTTGTGCCTTTGATAGTATGAATCTTGTCAAGACTGGAAGAAGAAGATGCAGGGTCTGACGAAGGTTGAGATTTCCTGGAGGTGGTACTAGTATCGGACAGGTTTATGGCTGAATTTTTGAAACATTTAGACGAGGAAGGCTTTTGCGAAATCCGCTTTCGACAACCTAAGRACGAAAATGTACATTCAGTAAATGACTTTCATTCTCAAAGTCTTATTTTCGACAGGAAAAGATCCCTGCATGAGCGTAAAATGATATAATTGTGCGATTATAAAAAGTTGAGAATGTACACCATAATTTCATTGGATAGCGTAGATTAAAAATAATAATGTACTGCTTGTTCAATCAACTTCGAGCTTTCAAAGACGGAAGATCATGAAATGTCATGCATGTACAAYTTGTACAACATGTACACCGCAAATATTCAAATTCAAGCGTTTCTCATAAATCAAACAAGGCTTAAAAGTAAACTTCACAAACGGCTTATGCATATTCCTACCTTCACAAGTATGAGATATGACAAAATTGCGAGGAATAAAACCTTCTTCACCATCTTCCGTCGCTACCCACAACCACTCTGGATCCTGGTCGTTCAACAACATGACACTCTCTCCTCTTATGACCCTAACATCGTTCTCAAACTTTGCTTTGTAATTATAAAGTACTGTCATTTTAGGACCATAAGGTCGTTTGGGAAAGTACGTTGTACGGATTGTGTGCTTAGTTCTTTTGTACTGATATTTTCGAGTTTCTTGTTCGTAGTCATCACTTCCTTCAAAACTTTCTTCATAACCAGAAGTACTAGATTTAGAGTCTCTAGACACGTTAAACGTTGAGCAATATGAATATGGAATAAAACCTTCTTKGCCAGTTGAATCTTTGACATAAAGCCAGTCATTTTGTTGGTATAGTATTATAACATATCGATCTTTCTGCACATTTAGCTCTTCTTCCTCGGTAGAGACAAAATCCTGGATTATTTTTGCGCGAATGTTTGCTGGTTTTGACGAAGTGGCAACTTTGAGTTTTCTATCAATTAGATTTTCGTGTTTAGTGTCTTTAATTCGGACAGTTCTTTGTTCGCTTGCCTTTTGGCTCGAGTCAGTCGAAGAACTGGGACTTTTTAAAGCTGATTTGTACTCCGAGGTAGAGCTGCTCGCTTCTCCATCAGCACTGTGCGATTCTCGTGGTGAGAGTGGCGATTTTCCATGCAAAACTTAAATAATTATGAAGAAATTGTGTGAAAAATCAAARATACATGAAAATTAATCAACGCAATAGGAACAAACTCAGGTACTTGAAGACAAACAACAAACCACTCACCTTTTTTCTTGATGTTTAACTGCGAAGGACATAAGAACGCCATATTGTCATCTTAGTCAACATGTGTTTCAGCAAATAAGGTCGAAAAACTTGTTCCTTTAGAAAGCGATTTATGTTTGTTTTCCTCCATATTCGCTTCCAGTGACTAATTTACATTCTTACGTCACACATTTCTGCATAACTTTCCCGTATTTACTTTTACCGCGTTTCTGACAAATTCAGCCAATCATAGCCTTACAATGTGACATCATGTGGTCGATTTGTTTGCAGTTGTTTGCTCACAGAACAAAGAGTAAGAACACAACATTAAGCTGAAAATAACCTTGAGAAAAGCCGTCTCTATTTCTGCTGACTTAGTTTTTAAAGCTGACTATGAAAATACAGAATATCCAAATCGCTATTCTAGAGTTACTTCCTACGACTGTTTCGCGCTAGGCATCAAGCTTCACTCCATGGTTCTAGCAATTAGAATTCAATTAAACAGCAGGAATTCAAACGTTTTCACTAGACATTTAGACAATAGTTAAGCTCGAACATTTAGGAGCTGTCAACGTTTCGTGTTACTGTTTGGAAGCTGTACAAGTGAAGTCTAAAACAATCACTTAAACTGTCAATGAAGGGCTTTTTCGGTCAACACTTTTCAAAAATAGAACCACTGTGACTGATACCGTTTTTTGCTGTATTTAGAAATCCTTGTGAGCCTGCGTGTTGGCTTACATTGGAGTCCATAAACTACCTTCCAACAGAATAGCATGGGCATTTCCAGCAAGGGGGGTGGGGAGAGGAGAGGGGGGGGGAGCTCAGAGTACACACTTGCACATTTCAAAGAAAGCAATTAGACGTCGCTTAGAAAACTGATAAGAATAGAGATTTGATGGGAAATATGCCCTAAATCTACAGTAAAGACAAATTTGACAAGTACAAGCCTGTTCTAAGTGAAGTTTTATAGGCTAGTAAGGGACAACAATTTGAAAACATAACACAAGTGGCTACAACTGATTTAATGTACAAATTTTTAAATGTTTTGAACGCTATTGAAGTGAATCATGCAAAATTATTTCAGTCTTCATATTTATGGGGGGATCGGCTTATTGATCGTTTTCATCTATTCCCTGAGATTCAAAATATAAAAGGTGGGCGGTCATGTTGGAGGAATGAACAATAGATGCTAATGAGAAATCCTTTGTTGAACTTTCTCCAAGATGGCCGCTGTGAGTAAGTATCATCTGAAAACGAAGAATAGTCCCGTTATGTGCTCCCTRCTGTAAATTGGACCATTATGACATTTTTGACCAGGAATGGAGGAAGGCGTGTCCAGGAATATCTTTTCGTCCTTATWTCTATGCAGTATACGAATTTATTTTTCAAGTATACGAAGAGCTTTTAAATAGACTTTGTCTTGCACGATATTGYTTCTTCGTTTTATTGTGCTCGACAACTAACTCGTTCCCAGGTCCTTTTCTGCTTTTGCTCTTTTTTCTCGATCGCCAGAGAAGCGCGGAAAAGGACCTGGAAATAGATTCTCATTCCCACAACAARAAAGTACTGTCGATTATCCATTCAGTCGTTTTTGCTTCACTTTGCTTACATTTTAACAATTTCCTCCTTTTGGACTTCACCGGAGATTACTGCTGTAAGAGGGACTAGCGGGGAGTGGTATACAACAGTAACGTTACATGTCACACCACACACTCATGCATCACGCAACTTCCGTTTTCACAAAATCATATGTTTTGGCTCATGATCAAATCGCCGACCACATCAGTTCACACTTGGTTTCAAGTTGGGTTTGTATTCACTGAGTTTGGGCAAAAACTCTCACCATGGATCTCACGATATTTTATATCTTTTCATGTATGACTGCTATTATACCTGTAAGTCTTTCAGAATCTACAGCGACCATTTTCGAGTCCAAAAGTCTTCCACAAAATTACCTGATGGCGTCTGTTGGCAATGGATTCATTGCTACAAATGTCTATAGCGACACCATTTATGCAGCGGGAATATTCAACGGTCGAGGAACAACATCGCCTAGTCATCGTGCCCGGATCCCTTCCACATGTGATATAAAACYACGTACAAACGTACCAAAGACTACAAAGCTATGGAGCCTTGATGTTGCTCAAGCAGTGTTTAAATACACAGAAAATGCTACTAACTTCACCYTGGAACAGAGAATCTACGCTCACAGAATTCGAGAACACATCATCGTTAATGAAATTCACGTTTTCAATTCACAGGAAGAAGACATTTTAGTAGCTTTTGATACAAGCTTTCGTCCAATCAGCGACGATTTTGACTTTCAAAACACTTCCGTCTTACAAATGCAAAAGTTTGAACGGCTGGACAACGTTTCATCACTTCGAGGCAGCTACAGGGTCATTCAAGGTCACATAAAGCAAACAGAGGAACCGGACAGCGCGCGGTTTGGAGTCGCGGTTGTATGGACTGAAGCCCCTAAGGAACCTGTAACTATTCCAAAACACTCGTCTCAGAAATGGTACTTTGTAACGTCTCTATCGACAAGTCTTAACTMTGAAGACTTTGTTGGCGATGCATACCGATCGTACTCGTCTGCAGTCAATAGTCTTGAGGAGTTATTCGAGACTCATGTAAAGGCATGGACCGAGTTGTGGGATCAAGGACGTATTGAAGTGGACGGTGATTTGAAGCTATCGCAGGCTGTTTACGGCAGTCTATACTATATATTGAGGTTAGTGTTGTTCTCTATTTCCCCTCAATGGTAATGGAAGGAAATGGAAGCAGAACTATTCGCAMCAAATTGTGCGAAATCGCGCTCTAAATTGGATGCAGCACTACTAGGACTTTACGCGCCATATCCCCATCGGAAATCCTACTGAACACCCAAAAGTATACCATGGTGTCCTAACTTATTCTGGACGTATGACTTGCAAATCCAGTAAGAAAATCCAATCCAGAATAAGAAATAAGATAATGATAATAATTTTTTGATTTAATTTTTTTTCTATTTTATAATTATGATCTGCTGATAGCTATCCGAGAGTTTTTCGATTTACATAATCACAATTAATTTCTTCTAGTTCCCTTCGTCCAACATGGCCGTATGGTTTAAGTCCAGGAGGACTAGCGAGTAATGGTTACAATGGACATACATTTTGGGATCAGGAAACATGGATGTATCCACCTCTTGTTTTATTATTTCCCGATATGGCTCGTTCTTGTCTTGAATATCGCTTTCAAMGACTACAGACAGCAAGGGATAGAGCAAAACAAAAGTCATATAAAGGTACATTACTGGCACATAATCATCAGCCTAAACCTTAGGCAACACGATGCCTGAATGTTTTTCTGCGCAAATTTCTTTGTGATATATGCTAATAAACAAGGGCGAGTGGACTACGAGCTGATCATAGCCCATGAGGCCGAAGAATTTAAAAATACGGTTGGACAGGCTTAGCTAGTCGCGACCTGTATTTTTAGAAATGCAGATGCACAAATTCTGGATGCGCGTGGACTAATTGTCGACGTCAATGTTTCGCAACGTCCTGGGTGATTGATTTGCGACCAGGCCTGCATATGAATTCGCCAARGTTGTAAGCCAGTGAGCCCGTGCATTTTTGTTAAGCGGTCATATTTGAAAGTGTAAATAAAGAAAAGGGAAAACCCGCAGCTCGCCTTTCATTCAGACAAACAGTACAAKTCGTGCTGAAWTTATTTACATAACTAAACAAAATGATTATAGAAATAAACCTTTAAGTATCGGAATGCTCATATGAAACATTCTCCACCTTAAATACACACGTGTTTTTCAGAAGGGAACTTTTTTCACGATGGAATTTTGTTTTGAGTCGTTTCGACATAAACAGTCGCTATCAAGACGTTACACTAAAAACCCCAGTCACCGTTCTAGCTCTCGTTGTATAGTAAGTTCAAAGCTAGTAAATGTGTAACTGACCTGTCGAGCACGCTTGCGGCTTATTGCCGAAAATGCGACAAAGGATGAACTACGACAGTTGATTTGTACCAAAAATATTAAACGCTATGGAGATAAGCTGCTCTAGCTCTTCCAGGTAATGTTGTAGATACCTCAAAGCTTAGAGGAAACAAGAGCTAAGAAGAAGGATTTGCAATGTCTCCTCCAAAGATACTTTGGACTTGAACGTCGCTTCAACGACCTTCTGAAGTCTTCTTGAAGTCGGCCATTGCTTCGCATGCAATGGAGAACCCGCGAAGAAAACAGAACAATTATTTTTATCAGGGAGGGGAGTGTCGTGGTCTTAAAGAAAAAATTATTTGCTATTTCATTTTTAAGATAAAATTCTATTTCTATAACGATAAATATTTGATTGACATTTAAAAGCTATTTTATAAAGATTTTCACTTTCTCTTTGCGTTTTAGCTTCGATTTTTCRGATAGAATAAAATGAAAGGCAGCCTACTCCACTGGGTCGAGTTTTGCTGAGCAAATTCCTCCCGTCGGAGGGTTATGTTTACAACATAAGCTTGTCAGYTTTGCGCTGATTGGCTAGTCGCATTTTCTCAAATCACCCAGTCAATATATGCGAAAAAATGTTTCAACAATGAACCAATCAATGTTGACCCACCATCAAATGCATATGTATGACTTGTATTGCTACAAATGGACTACATTTAAATAATTGTTATATATTCCAGGTGCCATGTTTCCCTGGGAGAGTGCCGTGACGGGAAATGAAGTCTGCCCTGGTGATATCTACTCTGATTATGAACAACATATCACCGCTGACATCGGTATTGCTGCCAAGCAGTACTGGATGGCAACACATGACACCAACTGGCTCAAGGAGACTGGCGCCGATCTCATTAATGCCACAGCTGAATTCTGGGCCAGTAGAGTGAAATATAACCAATCCCAGGATGCTTATGTCATATATGACGTCATGCCTCCTGATGAAGACCGAGGTGTCGTTAATAATTCTGTTTACACCAATGTCATAGCGAAACTCAATCTAGAGTTCGCCTCAAAGATCGTTAAGGAGGCTCCAAAGGAATGGGTTACCATAGCAACTAAGATGTACATTCCTTTTGACAAGGAAAAACAGTATCATCCTGAATACGACGGGTATAGCCTCGATATCATGGTCAAACAAGCGGACGTTATCCTACTGGGGTTCCCTTTGATGTTTAATATGAGTACCCGGGTAAGAATAAATGACCTTGGGCTGTACGAGCCTCGTACTAATCCCAATGGACCGGCAATGACGAAATCAATGTTCGCCATTAATTGGCTCGATGTTGGCGAAGTTAGCAAAGCTGAGCGTTCATTTACAAAAAGCTATGCAAACGTACAAGAGCCTTTCAAAGTCTGGACAGAAACYCCAGGGGGAGGTGCTGTGAATTTTATCACTGGCGCTGGGGGGTTCKTACAGGCTGTTTTGTTCGGGTATGCTGGATTGAAACTACACGAAGACTATCTAGAATTCAATCCCAGGCTGTTACCAAATACCACAAGCATAAAAATCATTGGTTTAGATTACCTTGGCAACAATCTTGACGTCATTGTTGGAACGACAGCATCAGACATTACTGTCACATCAAGATCAAGCTCGTCCCCAGCTTTAGAGGCTGTGGTCAATGCAACGCAAAAGACATATCCACTTGAAGTTGGCAATGTCGTGAAGTTTGACAACGGACTTATTTACATACGAGTTCTTAAGGAAAGCGGCAGGGAGAGAAAAGCTGATAGAAAAAGTAGCCAAGAAATTGTATTTTAGCATATTTGATTGTCAACCGCCCTTTTCTTTTTTTGTTTTGTAGTTAGATTCGACTCGTTTTGAGATTTGTTTTTAATATGATTTAAATAGAATCATTGAATTTTTTTCATTTGCACAATAGCTAATAAACTTTTTTTTCTACCAATACGGTAATCACTTAAAAATAAGGGTTGTCAAGGGACGAATGCAAATTCTGATATAAAATCGTATAACACATCAAAATATAAATGTCTATAAAATAGTATAAATTTAACTTCGCAAATGTTTCCTAGAATATATAGTTTTGAAAAAAAAGAGCGGGAAAAGTTTTAACACGCGCGCGCGCCGATCAAAACTGCATGCACATTTCTGTCATTTTGTTTGTCATTTCAACATATGCTTCGTTTGTATTTATGCTACGACGCAATCACATTTAGATGTTTAAAAACGTTTTTATTTCAATGTGAAAGGTAAGCAATGGTATTTTACAAATGTTTGATAAAATATATATCAGTGCATGTTATACTGGTCAATAAATATCAAGTAATGCGACCACTGGCGGTCGGATTGGCCAGATAATTTCATTTACCTAAATAGAGCTTTGTAATTTAAGAACGGTATCTATTTTGAAAATATACTTTTAAAAATCATTCATCAAAATACTTTACGACTGTTGCTCAGGGATATATGACTGGGATTACCCTAAAACTATTTCTAAGTAACAATTCTGATTTTCAAAAGTTCTTTTTTTTAAGAATGAAATGTTTGTGTTTAGTTGTTTCTTTTAAAAACTATTGGCTACAAATATATACATATCATACCCGACTTTGRAAAGATTGTCCACCTAAAAATACATTAACCGATGTTAGAATTGTCACGTGTCTTGATACAAGCTCAGTTTTCGCACGTGAAACATTTCTTGCATATAGAATTTTAAAAAAATGTCGCTTCCGTTCTCGACTGAAGCACACCTTTCAATSCACATGAGTCACGTGACATTTCTAAAATTACAAATGCATATTTAAGTGGACACCATTTTCAAGTTTATTTGATGTCGGGATAGAGTACTCTATGCGCACACACTATATAACTTTCAAAATAAGCGTAATATCATTCCTTGGTTATATTAAAAACACTCTGTTAGCGTTTATCTATACTAGAGACATCGCTATAATATTTTTCATATCATACAAAATTCGACTAATTTTCGTGGTAGGAAAAAAATTCCACATTCTATGGTAGCACTCTTCAAGTTAAACCTGTTTGACCGGTTTATCTAGCTAAAACTTCTTATCGGTGATTCTAATGTACATTTTGTTTGTTTCAATTGTTAAATACAAAACTGACTCGATAKCGTCAATTCAATATAGCTAATGACAGTTTTTTAGTATCCATTCTCTGTCGTCTTTTTTGTTCGGGGTCTCTGTGCTTTTTTCTGTATGGTCGGGCTCCCTGTGTCGCAATAAAAGTCAACGAGAGCCCGAAACATAAGACGTCTTAGAAGAGGAGACTAAATYCTCTGTCTCGTTGCCATTTCCAATAAAACTCTTTATAAAATTCTTATTTACAGCAATAAATAATAAATATTACACAGTGCTATTTTTTCGATGGTTGACTCTTGGTCATCTTTTTAAGCATTTGCTTGCCTTTCGAGAAAATCCCCTTTTTCTTCTTCTGTGGTTCCTCTCTGGGAGACTGGGTACCGTTTGGTGTTTTGCTGGGACCTGGGGTCGACTCCTAGAATAATTCAGCGGTATTAAAACGGATTTTTAAAATTTGGGTAAAATAATTCCCAAAGCAACATTTATGGTGGACAATACAGTTCAAATCAGACAGCGGACATTAAAGTGAAGCCATTACGACGAGTGACAGGGTTTTGGTAACTCTAAAAACGAACCAAACTTAGTGTTTGATYGGCTTAAAATAAAAATGATAGCAGAGGACTCATGCTTGTAGATGCAGGGTAAACAAAGAAACATATAATAGCGACAGAAACAACACAAGAGATACATTGAGATACAAATAAATAAATAAAAAAAAAATCCCAGCAAATACAACGACTAAGCGGAAAACTAGAATTCAAGCAAGTAATATCTCATTYAGTGACACAGATACCATTGAAAGTAAGATTATTAAAGATTAAAGAGAGACATACAGTAGAGATAGTTCGTTGTGCATCAAGAAATAGCCAAGGGTAGACGATAAGAGACCTGAAGGTTAAGATTAACACATGAGATTTATATAGTTTTGAAATTTGATTGGGTTAGAATATCATTACATACGGAGAAGTAATCATTTTACTAGCGTTATTTTCTTGACTTATTGTGGACAGAACAAGTGTAGGCACTCGTATCGTTTCTAGGAAAGTTAGCAAGTTTACTAAAAGTGARATAATTGTGGAACATTGAAAGTGAAAAAGCCTAGAGCTGACAATTCGAGTGCCCGCTTTTTAGCAATATTCAAGGTGGAATGTATAAGGCACTTAAGTAAAAGCCGCGCTGCTTTTTAAGATCACCATCTGCAAAACGTCAAAACGGTTATTTGATGTACGACTTATAAACTTTGCCTTCTTTCAAGCAATTCAAGCTTAAACTTGGCCAACTTGTAAAGCAATTTATGCAAGTAATTAGTGATAAAATTTTTAAATTTGGCGCAGCTTGTGTCTCCTTTTTGTATAAAAAGATCAAAATAAAACGGAAAAATTTCCTGAAAAATCTATTTTTTGTGAAAACATCGAATCCAATAACCGATTTGKCATTTTGCAGATGTTGACATCAACAGATTCACAAACGATGAGTTAAAACACTTATGAATTCAGTACTGAAACCACAATATATTACCTCGCTAATGACGCTGACATCCGACTGTTCCCGTGTTGACGGTGGACTTGTATCTTGAAATTCTTCAAGGAAATTAGATGGTACAAGACCTCGAACACCGCTGATTTCACCCTGACAAAGAAACAGAAGAACACGAATTCAGAAAACTAAAAAAACAATGTAGGGTGGTGTGGTGTGGTGTGGTGTGGTGTGGTGTGGTGTGGTGTGGTGTGGTGTGGTGTGGTGTGGTGTGGTGTGGTGTGTGCCTAGCAAGTTTCGGTCCACACAAACAGATAGTATTCAAGAGCTACATCGATAAAACGTGTGAATCATTTACCGTGTAAAATCCGTCTTCGTCCATTTCCCCATAAACGTACAGTATGTCACCCGATCGAAACTTCAATTCAACCTGAATATGATATCAAAATATAGTAAACATAGTATTAGTTTTAACCGTATCAAAATTGCATTTTTCTTTTTCCCGGTGCCGCAACTCCTACTTTTGCTTTTGTTTTCCTTTATGCCTTTTGCAAAAAAGGACAGCGAAAGTGCAGTAATCAGAGGCGTGACAAAAACTGGAATTCGTTGATTCTTACCTCATTGTCAGGGTTGGGTGACAGCATTTGCGGGTCATAATCAAACAAAGCTACCATCTTCCTTGGTTCTAGTGTGTAGTTAAGACTATTTCTTGGATCATCATACCCAAAACTATCCTCACCGTCGCTCACGGTGAAAGTCTCATTTGTAACGTTCTGAGATTCTGGYGTGGGGTCTTCGAAGAACTGTGGTTCATGCAGGCTCGCGTCGCTCGGTTTGTGGACGATYACTGTCGGATACTGCGTCTCTGTACCATCGATGAGAAGCTGGTCACGTCGATTATCRTTTTGTTCATAATGAGAATCAGGGACATTATCTACAAGGTACTTATTACCACTTGGAACCATATTGACGTGGTTCATTTCGTTATACTGGTCTTCATTAGGAACGTCATTGATGGGGTGCTCCTGAACATATTGGTTAGRAACCTCATTTRGCAAGTCATGGGCCTGTGACTCAGGAAGAGGAGACGATGATTGGTCGAGTAAATCGTCCTCGTCGACTTGCACCTCGGACACCATGTTGTGAGGTACAAAACCAGCGCGTCCGTCCATCTCGCCCCAGTAGAATCCATCGGGATCAATATCACCATAGATCTGAATGAAAAGAGACGTTTGTAAATGAAATGCAAGGAATTATGAACTTCTTCTTCATGCGCATTAAAAAATACAATAGTCATCGCTACTAATGCGAAACACACTTGATTCATGTGAAAAAATAAAAAATAAATAAATAAATAAATAAATAAATAAAAAACACTAACAAAATAATCATGGAATAGTTCTAATTTGGTATATATATATTTTTCAAATTGTCTAGTCTTTGTCATCGTTTTCCGTTCAAATAATCCCTTTCTTTCCATACCTGCAAGTAGGATTTCCCTTTTAATCCACCTTATCATATCAAATATTTTCTAAAATATGCAGTAACAACTTCCTCTTATAATTCCGAGCAAAGAACCTTCATTTTGAGTACTTTTGAGCTTAAAACACCACTAATTTTAATACAATTTCCTCTAATGTCTGTCTACCTTAATGAGATCTCCTTCACTGAAGGCGAGCTCCTCTTCCTCGGCGTCAGGGTTTGGTGATTGTATGGCTGGATTATAGTCATACAAAGCAATAAATATWCGTATAAGCTCATCTTCTTGAATATCTTCAGGGTTTTCTTCGTTGTCTTCTAAGGTATAAGTCCTATTAGCTGTCACGTCTGTGTCTGTATTGTTGTCTTGAAGATTCGACTCGTCTTCTATACTCTTTCTTGGCATTGTCGGGGTAGACGTTTCGTAGGGTTCTGCACCTTCAAACTGGTCGGCCTCCACATCGCTATAAACTTGATTTTTTGGTTCATTTTCTTGGTCAATATCAGCGTCATTTTGAGATTGGTTCTCTGAGCTAACGAGGTATTTCATTAGTCCTTCATTGGCTTCGTTTCCCGCTAATGCGTCTTGTTYTTGAACGGCCTTTTGTTCCTGAGAAAATCTCCTAACATTTGCYGCCGTAAGAGCAAGGACATTTGCTTCCTCGGGCTCGTCATCCAACAGATCCATCACATCATCGTCGCTTCKGAAGCTTTCTGTTGCAGAATGACTTCTCGACGAGCGACTATTTCTTTTGTTGGATGAGACGTCTGCTTCCTCGACTTCCATCCCTTCGTCTTCTTCGTCGATAACAGACAAGGAATCGTCACTCGAGTCACCAATCTCACTGTCGCTCAGGTCGACCGGAGTCAAAAATGGTTCTTTGGCGTCTGGTTTTGATTTGGTTTTCTTGTCACGTTTGTAACTTGTRGCCGATTTAAGAGATTTGTTTAATTCATCSACGTCAATATCACTTAATCCTGAAATCTTCCTCTCAGGTAATTCATCCCTTGGTGTGTTTTCGGCGTTATTATCTTGTGATTCGCTCCGAAGCACTTGTTTCTGATCTTTTGCTTTTTGAYCCTGAAAAAAATTCGTAATAAATAAATAAATAAGACTTTTTAATGCCAAGTAAAAACTAAAATCAAAGGGGAAAATACTGAAAACCTCCCAACTACAACCCCACCCTTTCCAAATAAAAAAAATATATAATAAAATTAAATCAAACAAAAAAAAAAAGAAAAAGAATAAAAACAGCAAGAAATATTATATACACTAATGTGAATAAAAGACGAGAAAAAAATAAAAACACTAAAACTTCAAACACAGACAARAAATCAACTTTTATTTCTGTAAAGGAAACTTTATAGGTGWGCGCCAATGTTTACGCAYAATTTKCATAAAAGTCAGAAATCGAATTTCAAGCTACAAGAAAATCAAGYCCATAAATGAAAAGASCTMATGCCTGTTATCAATTCCTGAAAATTTGAAGGAAATAGGTTAAATATTTTAAGAGATATAATGACCGTGGTTGACATTATTTGTGCTAACCACTGAATATCTTCTATAGATTTTRTAGTTTTGAAATGCCGATATCACGAAATGTAAAATGGCGTTTGYCYTAAMATTTTCAGGTTTTGTTGAGAGTAATATAATCTTGRATTAYATGAGTTTAGATTGCTTATTTGTTGAATKTKATATTTTGGATGTAAACAAACTACGTCATTGTACGCCCATACATAGCAATTAGACGAGTGGGAAATTTGAAAAGASAGCAGAGAGTGAAACCACCTCTAAAGACTAGCAATCACATAAAATATATACTTATCGTATTGAGCTTGGATGTTAGTTTGTTTTAAGTAAAGCAGTAGGTAAGATAAACATCAAGAAACAACATCAAATGAACAATCCATGATGAGAAGTGGTTTAGGAAATCGAGTTTAACTACAAGATAAACAGCTAGATACATTAAATTACCTCTTCGTTTACTTTTTGTTTTTCATCTTGTTCATATTCKTTCTCCTTTTTGTGGTTATTTGTGATGTCTTTGGTTGGCGTTGTGTATTTTTGATCATTTACACTGATTTTAGATATCTYAACTTGCTCGTCCACCTCTTTGTTGTGAAGTTTATCTTTGCTTAGTGTTTTGTTCTGTTGTTCATTCATGTCGAGGTTACAGATCTCGACTTGTTCGTCTTCGTCTAGTGCACTATCTCCTCCACTTCTGTTGCTGTCTTCCCAGCTGTCGTCTTCTTCCACGTCTACCTTCCACACAACAGGCTTCCCCTTAGTTCTTGCTTTGGGTACTGGTGGATTAAGCTTGTCTAGTCTTGGCTTAGCAGTAGGCTTTGATGTTTCTTGTTTACCATCTTTTTCAACTGAATTGTTTTTTTCTTGGATTTCATCTTTAAGATCGTTTTGATGAGAATCGGTGTGTCTAGGTTTCACATTGGTCCCCAAGGGTTGACTACCGATTAGTTTATTAGCCTCAAAGTTAAACGTATGAAGAGGAATGGAAACAACGTTGGACGCGACAGATTCACCATACGAAGACTGGGTTCGAACTGTTAGACGGATGGTTTCAGCTTTCGTTTTCTTGACAGCACGTTCGATCATCCATGAAGCGACAGTCACGCAATCCGCTGTTGGTGACGTTACCTAAAATGTGAGAAGTTTAGCATGGAATTTCAGAACGAAATGTATTAGAATTATCAGGAAATATTACATCAGGGGGCTTGCACATTTCCAGAAAATTAAAGAAACAATTTKACATTAAAATAGGGAGAATATAGAAATACTACGACCAAGACGGTGCATTGGGTACTAATAAATATAACGCAGGCAGAATAACAATAATCGTGACAAAGTAACGCATCACAAAATACATACCTCTGCGCATGTCACATCGTTGATGTAGACTTTGTAGCCAGTAACACGGGCACCATTGGAGGTCCCTTGCTCAGTTATGGTAACTGGGATCCAGCTCACCTCTAACGTATTTGGACCACTTCGGGAGGCCGTGGGTACTAGGTTGACGTTAAGAGGAGGGTCGGGRGCACCTAASAATCRMATGRCACATYRTAAGATCTACATGGAATGTTTCAGATCACAACACTCCTTACTAAGGTAAGATAACTAGCAAACTCTAAACGTATAGCCCCGGGTATCGAGATGTAAGGCAAGCGGCAATCAACGTTTCAACTGTCAGGTCAGTCTTATCCCTCTCTCACRACCGAAAATAACGTACACTTAAAGTCAATTTGCATACGAGAACTTTTGCGATCGTTCGTTTTGTTTAACAGAAGATCTATTGTTTTAAAGTTACTTTCTGATTGTTTAGAAATCAAAGACAGCGTTTTTTTGAATGTGAGAAAAACGCGCAAAGGTTCAGTTCTGGATGGAAGTAACGCGCAAAGGTTCAGTTCTGGATGGAAGTGGACCTTTAACGTTATAGACGTGAAGACCTCCGTCAAAGCTGTACTGTGTATTTTTGTATTTTTTTGTGCCTTTACATGTCTTGTACATTCTTGAGCAACTACACACCTCCTTCAGTTGTTGTGAACTCTATCGMTTTGGCCAGCGAGTCGTTTTCAATATCGTTTGAATCTTTGTCAAGAGATATCCTTGGATTTCTCGCTCGTACATGAACTCGGTAATGTTCCTTGGGTTCTAGGTTTGTTAGGGTGTACTGATAGGTACCAGGCCTTTATCAAATAAAACACCATATGTTAGTTTACAATCACGTGATTAAAATCACGTGAAAGRCACGTGACTTACCTGATTGTACGCAGTGGAGTCCCGTTAACAATGATCTCATGGCTGTACGAACTGTCTCCAGGTAACCATTCGATCTTCGCTGACGTAGGTGATACGTCATTAACCTGAAGGTTGCCAGGGGCAACTGAGGCATCTATCGAAGAAGATGGATAATCTAATTAACTTAAGTAAGCCGGAAGAAAGAATTACATAAGTAGTTTATTGTCGAAGACGCACCTTTCCCAATGGTTAACATGGCTTCCTGGTCGTGAGATTCGTCACCAAGGGTAGTGATGGTTCTGACTGACACGCGGTAAGTCTAACATAAAAAACAAACAAACAAAAAGTTTAAATACTCAACTGCAAACTCTTGAACACAACATCATAAAAGGAAAGGTTGTGTGGACGGTGGGTTAAGGGTTACCCCTCCTCGCAGGGTTTGCTATTAGGACCCCGACCAAGTTTGTTGTGTTTATTTCACTGATTGTTCTCAGTATACTTTTTTATCGTTTGCATTTCCTACCTTAGTTRGATCGATGTCCTCGATTAAGGCCTTGGTGTTGTTGCCTCCCTTCACTATCATCTTCATCTCACCGTTCACATAAACACCGTAGCCCTTGATCTCTTCTGGAGGAAGGTCAGCGGCTTTCCAGTTAATTACAATACTACGGGTATGCTGACGTTCTAGCATCACGTGCTTCGGAGATGGGATTCCTGTAGTGTAATACAATTAATTAGCTGTATCCGGATATTTTTGAAGACGTTCAATCTTTTCCTCCCGTCTGTGCCGCCCTACAAGTGCATACGGACAAAAAGGGAGGTTTTGCATGCTATATTGTAAGGCATTGCAGCGTATTTGTACATTCACTGATAAACGGGCAATACTCGACAACGCGGCACATGGGCGTGACAATATTTAACGAAAAAGAAACCAGTAAACAGCTGTTGCGATGACTCATTTTTTTACGCAAAAAGGAAGATGAATAAAGTTTGTTCTCTATATGCACATGCTCTTATTTAGAAGTACGACTGACTGTCCGTATGTCACGTGCTTATGTACTTACTGATTGGTTCGAGGTCTGTGTCGTCACTACGGAAGCCATCGTGGCTACTATTTAATGCCTCCCGTGACTCCTCGTCTTCTTCTTCCTCGATGTCGCCAAGGTTGGAGTCGGGAATATGTTCAACATTCAACCGAAGATTACGATGCAGTTTGCCTGTAAATAGAGGAAAGATRTAATTAGCTTTTTACCCAAACCCTGACTTCGGTCACGTGCGAGTTCCTTTCACTGGCATCCCCGAGAGCCAAACCTTGAGCTTCCGCCGCTCGTTCCTAGTTCTCGGAAATAAAACAACATATTTCTGGAAGTAAGGAACGAGCGACGAAACTTTTACGTTGTGAATATCCTTGACTTTTGACAGTTAGATATGTTTACGTTATTCTCGTTGCATTTTTTTTACTTTATTCCTTATTTTAACGATTTACAAACGCTATTCTTTACAGGTTAACTCCAATCTAACCGAAATATAAACTTGCTAGATAAAGGGGGGAAACGTGCCACGAAGCCATATTATAAACAAAACATTTCCAAAATCCGTTTTTTCTTAATGTAGACAAGGAACAAATATCCTTTCTGTTGCAACAAAAGAAAACAACCATTTTTGACCCAGTTTCAAATCATGCTTTAAACATCGAAGTACATTGCCTATGTCTCAAAGTTGAATTGTTTCCAATTAGCAAGCCAGATCGACTTCATGTCAGAGTGAATAAAGACTAGCGTTTGAATCCCAGAGACTTGYACCTTTTAGTGTATTTATCGCTACATTCTCTTTAGGTGCTTAATATATTTTGTATTAAAGTTCAGTGTTAAATAGTTTACATCAATCCATTAACGTTGTGTCATGTTGTTACAACAACAACAACAAAGCGGTCTACGTATCTATTAAATTTCTTACATTTTGCAAGAATAGACCCCTTGCAGTTCATGGGAATGCAGCTCCAACTGGAGGACAAAACAATGGATTCTAGTTCCCAAGAGGATAAAAATCTTTTGTTTTGTCCACCAGACGAAGCTGCTTTGACGTCACCGGCATGCAAGGGGTCTATATTTAATATCAAGATGCAAAATTGCACTAAAATATGCAGATAATAAGTTATTCGTTGTTTGTCTGAACTTTCTTCATGGGGATTTCAAAGCAAACGATTTTTTTTGTCGTCTTTGTTGGTGTCTGCTCAACTACACAATGTTAATGGCGCGTCGAATGTACATTTTTAGAATTTATTATTATTTAGTTTAATACCAGAGAATTTTACGACTTTAGGAGGCCTTTCCACTGGTTCTTTTCCATTTTCGTCTGGTTTAGCTGTTATTTAGAATATTTATAAGAATTCTCAATACACAAAGTCAATCAAACATAAACACAAAACCACATAACATGAAAGCAAAAAGAAACAGATGAATAAAAGACATACAGAATAATGTGTACACAAACAAAAGAATACGAACCAAAAATAAAAAATTGAAGAATAAACAGCTAACAATAAACAGTCGAACTGAGATGCATCACAAGTTCAAAAACTAATCTATCGACATAAAAAACCTCATCATTATCAAACCAATCATAATGTAATGACTGTTATCTATCATCTTCATCAGATTAAACAGCGAAACCCCAGACTCCCTCGGCCATTAAAGACAAAGTAACACTTACTTTGAGTTTCCTCTTCGTCCCTTTCGTAATCATCTACAAATGTGATCACATATAATAAATTAAGGAGCCTACTGCTGTCACAGTAACAACATCAAATGTTTAATCACAAACGCAAGCCCGCGGGAGATAGAGAGCACTCAAAAGGCGAGATAGACACTCGTKTTTCTCCAAAGCTCGTTTCGCCGTATTAAGACGGCGTTGTTTACTGTATGGTTGAAGACTTGTGCGACCGTTAATTAAAATYATACCTATAGACTAATCATACCTAATTATACTAGCTTCAATATTTTATCTATTTCATCATTTTACATTATGAAGTCAACCAATTATTCCACAGCGGTATCGTGGTTTATCCAGTGAATACATCTATCCAGACTTCGATAATTGAACTGTCGACTTACCAGCATTCTCGACTTGTTCTCCATTGATCCATGGAAGTTCACTTTCATCTAAGAACAAAAATAATTATTCAGTGTACTATGTCAATATTGCAGACACTATCATGCCACACTAATCTCTTTAGGATACCACAGCCTCTACTTGAYGAACTTTATATTAAAGACATCAGCATCTTTTCAGACCGCCATGTGGGATAGGCGGAATTTTCCTTTGAAAATGGCTGTCATTACTCGCCAGGTTTTAGTTTTTTACCTGCTATCTTCTCGACAAAATTTGAAGGTACAAGTCCTCTTTGTCCATCCATGAGTTCACCAAGGTAAAAACCGTCCTGAAATACAACCAACAGTAATTAGAATTCCACAGGAAACCCAGGGAAACAAAATCTGCCGTAAATCTCTCTATATACGAAGCCCAGCAGCAAAGAATCCCCGATTGCAGTATCTAAAAGCGATAATTATGTTACGGGGATAAAACCAGTGCCACTTGAGTGACAAATCCAGAGTGACCATCCACCTCGTACTCCGAGCCTTGATGTCTCTTGGCCACTGCCGACAAACCTGTCTTTTTGTCGATGGTCATGAGAACGGAAGGTTCGGGGTACGCGATTGAATGAACCAGCTTTTAGATTGGTACTTCATGTAAACAGAACCCTTAGCATAACCCTCAGCCACACCCTAAAACGTGTATACAGTGCCATTCTATGTGTTCGTACATGATGTAGTAACCCGGTTTATCATATAGTTATCTCTGAAATACCTCTATTTCTCTCTTTCGAAAAGTTGTTATTTTCACTAGTGAAACTAACACATTCTAGGTTTTTTTCTATACATTGGAAGTAAAAAACAATATATTTTACAACACAATTTGCTTTCACATATAATTATATGATAAACCGCAGAATATTACATTTTCCCTTAGAGATAGAAATGTTATCTTCTCGTGTTGTTCGCTACGATCACTTGTGAGAGATCTTTTCAACACATGAAGATAAAATCCGTATCTCCGCGCGCCCCATGTAATATCCTCTACATCAGCATCATATCATACCTCATCAATATCTCCAAACACGTACAAGTAGTCACCAGCTTGAAAAGCGAGTTCAGCATCAGGGAAGTCGTTGGGTGAATGTTGGTACGGATCATAACTATATCGCGCTATAAACACCGCCAAGTTATCCTCGTCGATATCTGACTCTAGTAAATGTCCAAAACACGGTATTGAATGCGTGCYTTTGTTAACTGATTGCACAAAAACAATATTGAGAGTTTGAAAAAAAGTCATGTAAACATTTTCATGTAAATTCATTCTAAATTTCTTATTAATAAACGCTCTATCGCACACCTGGTAAACGATATTGTAAGTCTGTTCCCTCTATTTGACGGCTGAAGCTTTTGCGTCATGTACCGTATACGTAATGCATTGTAGGATATGTTTGGGACAACATGGCGGATTTCTTTTGTTTTCTCTAAAAACTGATCCCACAATGCATTGAAAATCAAGTAGTGACGTAAAGAGTTTAGAAGTCTCTTCGTTTAAAAGAAACTTTATCTCGATTAATGAACAGTAAATGGTGAATTATTAGGCGCTCTTGGTTGCAAAGATTTAATAAACCATTAGTGCTATCAGAGGACCATTCTATCCTTTGTTTCGTCTTTTACCTTGACTATAAAACCACGTGATTGACTATAATGATCATAACTMACCTTTGTTTACGTTTTTATTGTGGTCAAGGTAACTATCCAGGTCATTACCAGTCTCATCGCCGTCAATCATACTTGTWGTGATGTCATTGTCTTCCATGTCGGCCAAGTCTCCCTCGGCCATGCTATTTGCGTCTCGACTGGTATCGCTCTCATATTTATCGTCCACCATACTTGCGCTTTCATCGCTATAGGTGGCTTGGTTGATACGGYGTGATAATGATGCAATGTCATCTTCGTCTGCCTTTGTTCTTTTGTTAGAAAGAGATGGTCCTAGAAACACACACACAAAAAAAATACTCAATGAAATCTTAATTAGAGTGGAATGGAAAGTGGTATAACGGAATAGAAATTAATTGAAAATAAAYAAATAAAATTAATTAGATAAATAAATACACAACCGCAAGAAAGGGAAAAGGCTTTTGAAAAATCATTTTACATATTTTTTTGTTCAGTTTATGTTTAGCCCCCGCCTTGCGCGCAAAGCGTGTAAGCGATCACAAGAGCGCTGTAAAGTTTCTTATTTACTCCTTTTCAGGATTATGTGAAACATTGAACTATATATATCACTAAACGCTTTACGACGAGTTAGAGATAGTGTTGGTCCAATCGCAGTCTCCAGGCCAGTCTACTGACTAATGACCATTCGGTAGAATCTCGTTTCCAGGGATTTCGMGAGCATASAACATAGAGACCCTKGGAACTACAGTATGTTGATCCAATGCTTACCACTCAATGAATCCTCTTCGCTATCTGACATTTCCAGCTGATTGATACGCGATGCAGCCACATCGAGGATATCCGAAGAATTAATTCCCTCATTCTCAGGCTTCCTCTCTTTTTCTGCGACAACAAGTGACTCATGACGTGGTACAGGAGATTGTTCTGGAGACGTCTGGGTAGATTTATGCTGGTTACTTCGTTTGACAGATTTTAGCTTTTCGAGTTCATTTTTGAGATTATTTGCTCTGTTATCGGAGTCTGCGCACTTCTGTTCTAATGCTCTGACGTCACCTTCTAGTGACGTAACGGCCAATCGATGTGAACGGGTTGATTCCTCTTGAATCTGTAGCACGAAAGAACAAATTGCAATTTAGCCTTTTTCTATGGCTAATTTTCATTATTAAGATAGTTTAAACCTTGTGCAGCTGTCTGATTTCCTCTTCACGTTCTTTGAGTCGTGACACACTTGAGACATGTTCTTTTTCGAGMTGTTTTCTCTGCTGTTCTGAATTCTCTAAGTCCTGCATTAAAAAATTAAAAATCGTTTTAGTTAACTTCAAAAGCAAGTACTTTTTCGAATCGTTTTTGTTTACAAAATGCATGCGCAATGTTCCAAGCATGCGTAGTGTGGAACATGATATCAAGCCGTCTACAGATTACACGTTTCAAACTCTTACATTCTAGAAGGATTTTAGCAACGATTGTTACTTAGAATTATAGAGGGGAACTGAAGATTGGTGAAAATTTAGGTGATTCAATCGTCAATGAATCGTAATCAGCAAAACTTACTGCTTTATCTACCAATAAAGCTAAGCTCCATGAATTCAGACATTTTGAAGAATATCTTAAAGATATCTCCTCAAAACCGGCAGATYAAAAACAGATTGTAAACTGATATTGGAAGTTATCTCAAAATGTTCGATGTTTTGTTTCTGAGAAATTCAAGTACCGATCGCATTGCATGCTAGTTGGCTACGTCCCTTTCACGATATTCGGTGTTATTTTTTCTTATTTTTTTCTCCCTTTCTATTTCATTTCATTTCATTTTGAGATAGTGAAAAGTCTACACGACATTTACTCGACTTCCTTGCGATGAAGAAGAAAATCACAAATATTTAGTGCACTRCCTYGACGGGAACAAGGGATTAATAAAAMGTAACGACGATAATTATAAACTTATAAATATGCTACCCTAAGACGGTATTTTTTACCGCCTCTCACAGGATATATATCATTCAACTCCTACCTCTTTAACGTGCATCAAACCATTCAGTTGTCCTCGGAGTTTCAGACATTCATGTTCCAAAACATGTCGTTGTTCTTCGGTTTTTTGTAGRTTTTCTTTTAAACTCTTTATCTCTTCCTCAAGCTGAAATAACAATTTGTGCGTGTGAACGCCTTGTACTGTCAAGTGTAGTAACCTGGAAGTTTCTTTAGGGACGGATACATGACAATAAAAAAGCGAAGAAAAATGATTTTCTTTTAAGATAGAAGAGAAAAGGGTTAAACCAGAAAGCACAGTTCAAAGAAAAAAAAAACAAGAAATTATAATGCAATTGAGTGGGCTGTTTTAGAGTGATTATGTAAAGTTTCGGAAACTGAAACTGAAACTACAGAAAATACAAAAGAAAAATGAATAGAAATGAAGTGAAAGAAAAAATGAAATGTGAATGAAATGATAGACGATAAAAGATCAGACGCTAAAAACGATGCATTGAAATAGTAAGTAAAGACTTTATTTAAAGAGGGTAAAGCACATAATAGTACATACATACTACTAAACTCTATATTGAAATAGGTTGAAATGAGAAAAATAAGTCGGAATAAATAAATATAAAATAAATAATAAAAATAAAATGGGAAAAATGAAAGTGAATGCAATGGTACAAGTCAAAAAACCTTGTTAAATTCTTTCAATCGTTTTCCAAGTTCAGCGTTTTTCTGATGAAGCATGGTGCACTTTGCTGCAAACTTTTCACGTTCAAGCTCCTAAACGACAAACAATATTAATATCTCCTAACAAACAACAGCAACAACAAACTTTTAAAAACTTTCAAGCAACAAAAAACTCACCAATTTGGAACATTTTGTTTTCATCTCTTCAGCTGAATTTCTAAGATGTTCGCATTCCTTTTCTTTGTCTTCTAACTCTTTTTGCTGAACGAAACAAAACAACTTCAGACCCTCGCGTAATATCGATAAGATAATATAGAGACTTCACTCAGTTAAATGTTCCTAATATATACCGTAATTYAGTGAACTTGATAAGTTACTAAATTGAATGTGTGTGTAGGAGAGTTGGTATGCCGTGTGTAGGTGTGTATAATTGTATTTACTAGTAATGTAGCCGKGTATATAGGGGTTAATATCATATAGTCTGGTAAGTGGTTTGAAAGCCATATAGTGTGCCGGTAAAATGAGTAATAATCATGTGTAGGCAAAGACCATTAGTGAGATCAGGAAAATCAAGTAAAAGGAATCAARCCACTTTTGAATAAATGCTTTAAACAAACAACGACTTTCAGACAATATCATCAAAAAACATTGACGGCGGCTGGCGCATGAAGTGTAAAAAACTACTAATTGATAAATTGTGCAAAATATTGCTAGTTGAACAAAAGAAATCAAAAGTATTAGTACGAAACTGTACATTACAGTATTACTGACGTTTCGCGTTTTTAGAGTGCTTTTACTGTGAAATAAAAAACGTTAAATAAAGAAATAACGTGAAATAGATATTACACTGATACACCTTCGAATGCTCTAATTGCATTTTTCTTTTCTTTCGTAACTATTCGGACTATCACTCTTTTCAAAATAAAAAAATTAAAATAATAATAATAATAATAATAAAAATTTTGTTTCGCGGGTTTAAAGACTGCACTTTACTAAAACCGTGAAAAATTATACTATTTTATGCTAATTCTTTTGTTTTCTTTTGTTCAACTAGCACTATTTTGCACAATTTAGAAATTAGTATTTCACGGTTTTACTGAACGCACTCTATACTAAAAGAATTCTACAAGGAATGCTTTATTTGCAATACGTACACCGTAAAGAAATAACGATTTTCAGACGAGTGAAATATCGAAAAACATCGACGAGAAGTTGGAAGAAAATATGCGTGGTAATGAAAACGTCGAGGGAGTCATGATCTGAATCATTCCCCATTTCYATTTTTTCGATGACATTGTCGTCCAAAAATAGTTAATTAGTTTTGTGTCCTGATTCTTGGGAGATTTTTTTGTTGAGACCCGGAAGCACAATTCTCCATACCATAGAGCGCCATGGAATGCGTTTTCAAAAGATTTCCTTGGAAAGCTGCTGTCCCCCCCCCCCCCCCCCAAAAAAAGATATTTACTATCTTCTCTAAATGTTTMCTAAATTTTACATTAAGGGACTGCGATAGATTTATCAGGAGGGGGAGGTTGAAAATCCAGAGGAGGGGGGCAAAATCTAATTTTTATGGCTTAAAGAGGGGGGCAACGTCTAAAATTTACTAGAACTTTAAATGAAAACTGAAAAATCARCGATGTCAGATACTTATTGAAGTGGAGAACTTCTCAAGAAAAGCGTGCCACGATTTGAGGTGTGTTTCAAAAGGTAACACTGCTTCCCATTACGGGCAGTGCAAAAAAAAGTAGCTTACCAAATGCACACTGTCAACTTCTGGAGACCTTAGTTTGCTGTATGTTCCAAGCTCCCCATCGACACTTGTAGTAAGTGAGGGACTGGCACTATGGGGTTCAATTGATGCTAGTTTCTTTTCCAAGACCAGCCTTTCTTTTGCTGTCTTCTTAATGATTTCCTGAAGTTCTTCAACCTTGTCATTCTGATAAAAAAGG